CAAGGGCCCTGACCCCCAGAGGGTCAATGGCCTCAGCCCCACCCTGACAAAGACACAGACTGACTCAGCGGCCTCCCATCATATCCGCAGGAACGCTCCCTGGTCATTCACCCCTAGCCCGCTGACAGGCCTTGGGTTTAATTGCCCAAAACCCTGAACTTTGGTCTTCCCAGAGCCGACAACAGGGTGCTGGGGATGTTCTTAGAAACTTAGGACACAGTGGGAAGGGGGACAGGGAGGGTAGAAGAGCGGACGGACTTGGAAGGGCAGTGGTTGGGCCGAGAAGCTGACCCTCCGTAGTGTGAGGGTCAGTTTCCCAGCTGGGCAGCAGAGACTGGGAGACCCCAGGAGACCAGCAGGGTGTCAGTGAGGGGAGGGGCTTCCACCCCACCCAGGGTCCCTGAGGGGCTGTGTTTTGTGCAGTGTGGCCAGGGATCTGGCCAGCGGGGGGTCCTGACTTGAGGCCGACCCATCCCGAGAGAGGGCTTGGTCAGTGGAGGCCTGCCGGCTGTCAGAAACTGATTTTTAGAACCAAAAACTTCGGAATTTCATTTCTTAGGCTTGTTTTTTTCCCACAAAATTATATTATAGCATCATCTGATACTTACTGAGACACAGTGGGGATGGGACTCGGCTCCCAAGCCGCTAATGAGTCCCCCTTTGCCTTCTTCTTCCTCTTTCTTTTTCCCTACCTGCTAACCACAGGACAGCTAAAAAAGCAGCGTTCCACTAGAAATCTTACTCAAGATGCCATGCCCACTGATCACAGCACCTAGAAAAAACCCAGATAGGCAGCGCCCCACTTTAAATCTTATACCAAGCCGGGCGCGGTGGCTCACGCCTGTAATCTCAGCACTTTGGGAGGCCGAGGCAGGTGGATCACGAGGTCAAGAGATCAAGACCATCCTGGTCAACATGGCGAAACCCCGTCTCTACTAAAAATACAAAAAATTAGCTGGGCATGGTGGCGCGTGCCTGTAATCCCAGCTACTCAGGAGGGTGAGGCAGGAGAATTGCCTGAACCCAGGAGGCGGAGGTTGCAGTGAGCCGAGATCGCCCCATTGCACTCCAGCCTGGGTAACAAGAGCGAAACTCCGTCTCAAAAAAAAAAAAAAAAAAAAAACCTTATACCAAAGGCAGTGAACGCATGGCCTGTACGTGCACAACAGCAGAGGAATGACCGCTCTACTCTTGGCCTCGAATCTCTGCCCGGGCTCGGAGATTCACACCTGTAATCCCAGCACTTTGGGAGGCCAAAGCAGGCAGATTGCCTGAGGTCAGGAATTTGAGACCAGCCTGATCAAGATGGCAAAACCCCATCTCTACTAAAAAATACAAAAAGTTAGCTGGGTGTGGTGGTGCGCGCCTGCCGTCCCAACTCCTCGGGAGGCTGAGGCAGGAGAATCACTTGAACCCAGGAGGTGGAGGTTGCAGTGAGCAGAGATTGTGCCATTACGCTCCAGCCTGGGCAACAAGAGCAAAACTCTGTCTCAAAAAAAAGAAAAGAAAGGCCGGGCACAGTGGCTCACGCCTGTAATCCCAGCACTTTGGGAGGCTGAGGCGGGTGGATCATCTGAGGTCAGGAGTTTGACACCAGCCTGACCAACATGGAGAAACTCCATTTCTACTAAAAACGCAAAACTTGCTGGGGGTGGTGGCACATGCGTGTAATCCCAGCTACATGGGAGACTGAGGCCGGAGAATTGCTTGAACCCGGGAGGCAGAGGTTGAAGTGAGCCAAGATTGCGCCATTGCGCTCCAGCCTGGGCAACAAGAGTGAAACTCTGTCTCAATTAAAAAAAAAGATAAATATATAAAACATAAAAATAAATGAATGAAAGGAGATGATTAAGAGTGGGGGCTCTTAGGTGAGTTCATTAGTGAATATTTTTGTGTTACGATATTTTTGCTACAGAACATCACAATTTTAGGGATTTAGATGATGCAAAAAGCTCCCCTGAATTCAAAAACTACCAAAAAATCAAAACACACGGTGCTAAGAGCAACAGGCTAATGACACAAGAAGTCCATCAACGGGCTGCTTGCAGCAGCTCAGGATCGTAATCCAGCCCCTTGGGATGCTGCAGCCAGAGGACTGCCTGGGCCACGCCATGACACACTGTCTCTTCTTTACTTTTTCTTAGAGACGAGGTCTCGCTGGAGTGCAGGCTGTTCACAGGCTCGATCCCACTATTGATCAGCACGGGAGTTTTGACCTGCTCCATTTCTAACCTGGGCCGGTTCACCCCTCCTTAGGCAACCAGGTGGTACCCACTCCCGAGAGGTCACCATATTGATGCTGAACTTAGGGCGGACACCTGGCACTGCGCACTCAAGCCCAGAACTCCTGGGCTCAAGCGATTCTCCAGCCTCAGCCTCCTAAGTAGCTGGGACTACAGGCACGTGCCACCATGCCTGGCTCTTTTTGTTTTTTTGAGAAGGTGGCTCACTGTCGCCCAGGCTGGAGTGCAGTGGTACAACTGGCTCACTGCAACCTCCGCCTCCCAGGTTCAAGCAATTCTCCCACCTCAGCCTCCCATGTAGCTGGGACTACAGGCGCCTACCACCACTCCTGGCTAATTTTTATTTTTTAGTAGAGATGGGGTTTCACCATGTTGGCCAGGCTGGTCTCGAACTCCTGACCTCAAGCCATCCGTCCTCCAGCCTTGGCCTCCCAGAGTGCTAGGATTACAGGTGAGAGCCACCATGCCTATCGGAATTACCTATTTTATCCATGTTGTAGAATAATGAGATCAGTGTCGAAATTCAAGTGACCTACAAAATGGGTGTTACACTTGGACATGTGCAAAGAGTCCCCAGTGAGTTGGTGGCAGGAGCTCTGAAGCTGCTTGGTGGCACCTGGGTCACAGCCTGTGCAGTAGCCACAGAGAGGACGCCACAGTGAGTATCTGGCCATTTTCAGCTGCAGTTGGGATAGGGAAATGGTTTTTGACCCTGATCAAGATGCACAGTGTGTGGATCCTCCAAGCCCTGATGGGGTTCAGATGCTTAGTTACCAAAACAGGGGTCAAGTGTCAGCTGAGCTGGGGCACAATGACTCAGGCCTGTAATCCTAGTGCTCTGGGAGACCAAGGCAGGAGGATTGCTCTAGGCCAGCGGTTCAAGGCCAACCTGGGCAACCTAATGAGACCCTGTCTCTACAGACAGACAGATCATGTCAGCTGCGTGGAATGGAAAGCCCCGTTATTTTCTCACATAGTAAGCTGTTCAGGGCTGGGCGTGGTGGCTCACGCCTATAATCCCGGCACTTTGGGAGGCTGAGGCGGGTGGATAACAAGGTCAGGAGTTGGAGACCAGTCTGGTTCACACAGTGAAACCCATCTCTACCAAAAATACAAAAAATTAGCCAGGTGTGGTGGTGTGTGCTGTAATCCCAGCTACGTAGGAGGCTGAGGCAGGAGAATCGAACACTTGGGAGGTGGAGGTTGCAGTGAGCCGAGATAGCGCCACTGCACTCCAGCCCGGGCGACAGTGCGCCACTGCCTCTCTAAAGAAAGAAAGCAGCTTCTCCACTCCTTCTGGCATCTCTCCCTGGTTCCGCCCACCTGCCTCCACTCCTGCCTCCACCATGTCCATCAGGGTGACCCAGAAGTCCTACAAGGTATCCACCTCTGGCCCCGGGGCCTTCAGCAGCCGCTCCTTCACGAGTGGGCCCAGTGCCTGCTTGAGCTCCTCGAGCTTCTCCCGAGTGAGCAGCAATGGCTTCCGGGGTGGCCTGGGTGCAGGCTATGCTGGGGCCAGCGGCATAGGCATGGGAGGCATCACCGCCGTTCACCATCAACCAGAGCCTGCTGAACCCCATTAAGGTGGATGTGGACCCCAACATCCAGGCCGTGCGTACCCAGGAGAAGGAGCAGATCAAGACCCTCAACAGCAAGTTTGCTTCCTTCATCGACAAGGTGCGGTTCCTGGAGCAGCAGAACAAGATGCTGGAGACCACGTGGAGCCTCCTGCAGCAGCAGAAAACGGCTAGGAGCAACATGGACAACATGTTTGACAACTACATCAGCAACCTGAGGTGGCAGCTGGAGACTCTGGGCCAGGAGAAGCTGAAGCTGGAGGCGGAGGCTGGCAGCATGCAGGGGCTGGTGGAGGACTTCAAGAACAAGTATGAGGAAGAGATCAATAAGCTACAGAGATGGAGAATGAATGTGTCCTCATCAAGAAGGTTGTGGATGAAGCTTACCTGAACAAGGTAGAGCTGGAGTCTCGCCTGGAAGGACTGACTGACGAGATCAACTTCCTCAGGCAGCTGTATGAAGAGGAGACCCGGGAGCTGCAGTCCCATATCTCCGACACGTCTGTGGTGCTGTCCACGGACAACAGCCGCTCCTGGACATGGATGGCCTCATTGCTGAGGTCAAGGCACAGTACCAGGAGATTGCCAGCCGCAGCCGGGCTGAGGCGGAGAGCGTATACCAGATCAAGTATGAGGAGCTGCGGACGCTGGCTGGGAAGCACGGGGATGACCTGCGGCATGCGAAGACTGAGATCTCCGAGATGAACCGGAACATCAGCCGGCTCCAGGCTGAGATCGAGGGCCTCAAAGGCCAGAGGGCTTCCCTGGAGGCCGCCATTACAGATGCTGAGCATCGCGGGGAGCAGGCACTCAAGGATGCTCATGCTAAGCAGCAGGAGCTGGAGGCCGCCCTGCAGCGGGCCAAGCAGGACATGGCAAAGCAGCTGCGTGAGTACCAGGAGCTGATGAACGTCAAACTGGCCCTGGACATCGAGATCGCCACCTACCGCAAGCCACTGGAGGGCGAGGAGAGCCGGCTGGAGTCCAGGATGAACTGAGTATCCACACGAAGACCACCAGCTTCTATGCAGGTGGTCTGAGCTCTGCCTGTGGGGGCCTCACAAGCCCCGGCCTCAGCTACGGCCTGGGCTCCAGCTCCTTCAGCCGCACCAGCTCCACCGAGGCTGTGGTTGTGAAGAAGATTGAGACCCATGATGGGAGGCTGGTGTCTGAGTCCTCTGATGTCCTGCCCAAGTGAACAGCCGTATCAGCCCCTCCCAGCCTGCCCCTCCCGAAGCTGCTCCAGAGTGCAGGAGGGAGGCCGCTGTGCACTGGAGTACAGGGAACAGGAGACCCACCTGACCCTCAGCCCACCCGCTGGGAGTTTACTGCCTGGGGACTCCCCTTGCCCATGCCTCCAGCTGCAAAACAATTCATTTTTTTTTTTTTTTTTGGTCCAAAATAAAATTTCAGCTAGCTTGGGGGGGAAAAGAAAGAAAGAAAGAAAGAAAATAGGCAGCTCAGGGGGAGGTGGTTCAGAGCTGGGCCTGGGCTCAGCAATGTGGTTCGGCTCTGCTGGGCGGTATGCTGGTGTGTGGCCTAAGGCCCCGAGGGCGGCACTCTAGCCACCACGCCTCCGTTCAAGACAGAAAGAAGGGGACAGAGCTCTCCAGCGGTCTTCTTCCGTTTTATCTGGCAGGAAAAAGGTTTTGTAGATGCTCTCAAAAGGCATCCACTTATGTCTTGTTGACCAGAACTGGGCCCTGAAGCCAAAGCTGGGAAATTATTTAACAGAGCAGATTGCTGCCCCCTCCCCCACACTGGAATTTGGTCACAACAAATAAAAAATGGAGCTAGGATGGGCAGTTCGCACTGTTTGCTCTCATCAGCACTGGGCTCGAAGGGGTGGTAACACCCAGCAACTTGCTTTTTCTTTTCTTTTTTTTTTTTGAGATGGAGTTCCCTCTGTCACCCAGGAGGCTGGAGCGCAGCGGTGCGATCTCAACTCACTGCAACCTTCATCTTCCAGATTCAAGTGATTCTCCACCACTCCTGGCTAGTTTTGTATTTTTAGTAGAGACGGGGTTTCGCCATGTTGGTCAGGCTGGTCTCGAACTCCCGATCAAGTGATCCGCCTGCCTCAGCCTCCCAAAGTGCTGGGATTTCAGGGATTACAGCGCTCGACTGAAAATGACCAGCTTTCTTACCATGCGTTTCTCCAAAGTCATATCCTCCAACAATGTCAACCTCTCAGGGGCAGGACCTTGGTTCCCCAGCACGTGGGGTGGGGGTGGGGTTTGCTGTTGGAAGTGCCTGACACTGGAGGCAGCCAGAGCAGGCTGCAGACAGTTCTACTGAGGACCCCAGCCTCTGTGATGTCACACTGGGCTTCTTTCCTTTCATCCTGGGCTGTGGCCATGGAGCTCTGGAAGCAGGGCGGGGGGAGGAAGCCTGCTGGCTGTGACCTGCCCTGGAGGCGTAGGAGGCCCAGCCATGATACCCTTACCGGATGCCATGACCCTTGGGAAGGAGCCCCGTCCTCTGCCTCTGGTCCCACTTCCCTGGGTCCTTCCCAGCCTGTTTGCTGCCTGCAATGTGGTGCTGCTGGTCTTTTTCAGTGGCCTCTTCTTCGCATTCCCGTGAGTCTCCCAGGCAAGCTATTAGGTTTCCTACAAAGAGACAGCAAGGGAAACAGAAGGTGATGATAGGGTGCAGGCAGGGGTGCAGAAGACGGGGGCGGAGGTCAGGGAAGGAGGGATATTCTAGGTCTAGGGAACCGAATGTGCAAAGGCACAGAGGTCAAAGGTGCCTGTACAGCTGGGGAGCTGTGGGCAGCTGGTCATGCTGGTGACATTTGGTGGAGCCATTATGAGTCTGCCTGGGTATGTGGAGTCTGGATTTTTAGAGCTGACTTTAAGGTCTGTGGGTCCTGACTCAGGTAAGCCAGGCTGCCCCTGCTCAGGTCTGAGCCTGGGTCTCGTCTCAGTTGCAGGTGGCTGGCTCAGAATGGGGAGTGGGCCTTTCCTATGGTCACAGGCCCCCTCTTTGTCCTCACCTTCTTCAGTCTTGTTTCACTCAACTTCTCAGACCCTGGCATCTTACATCAAGGTGAGGCATCAGCCCCCGGGAGAAGGAGGCAGCACGGCAAGGACTGTACCTGCAGGGATGGTTCCTAAAGTGCCCTTCCTGCCGCCCTCCTCCAGCCTCTGGACCCCTTCACCCCACATCTTCATTGCTCTGGCCCTGGCACCCCATTTCTTAAGCCATCAAAATGTGGAAAAACAGAATCGTTGAGGTTTCCCAGGGGCCTACATGGGAAGACTGGGTGGGCCAGGGTCAGAAGCCAGTGGGCTCTTCCAGACCGCCGTTTGCACGTCCTTCACTGCACAATGCAACTGAGAGCAGCACGCCCTGCTCCAAAGGCCTGACGTTTTGTTTTGTTTTGAGACAGTCTTGCTCTTGTTGCCCAGGCTGGAGTGCAATGGTGCCATCTCGGCTCACAGCAGCCTCCGCCTCCCGGGTTCGAGCAATTCTCCTACCTCAGCCTCTCGAGTAGCTGGGATTATAGGCATGCATCACCAAGCCTGGCTAATTTTTTGCATTTTAAGTAGAGACGGGGTTTCTCCATGTTGGTCAGGCTGGTCTTGAACTCCCAACCACAGGTGATCCCAAAGTGCCGGGATTACAGGCATGAGCCACCTCGCCATACCAGGCCTGAGTTTTATACAAAACTCTCCTGGCTGAAAACCCGTCTTCCCTTTGACTGCCATCCTCTCTGAGCTTGGATAGCTTGCTCAGTGGGGACCAGGTTCCCCTGCCCACCTTGTCCCCACCCTTCCTCATGCGCTGTGAAGTCATGGAGCTGCCCCAGCCGCAGCTTGACTGCAGGGCCTTCTGCTGCGCCCAACCCTCTTCCCATGCCAGGCTCCGCCGAGCAGGGGCCCTTGACCGTGCACGTGGTGTGGGTGAACCACGGGGCCTTCCGCCTGCAGTGGTGTCCAAAGTGCTGCTTCCACCGCCCGCCCCGGACCCACCACTGCCGCCGGTGCAACGTCTGTGTGGAGGTGAGGGCCCCTCTGCATGCCCACCAGCCAGCCATCACCCCACATCTGCCTGGGACCAGGAGCCCCTCATACAGGGGCCGGGGCTGGGTGAGAAGCTGTCTCTCAGGACTGCTAAAGGCCACGGGTGCCAGTAACTCCAGCTGCTCTTGGTCACTCCTGTGCTGTCTGCCTGCACCTGTCCCAGGAGGCTGGCCCTTATCTGCACAGGTGTGGATGTGCACAGGCACCTACATCTGTCCTGGGCTGGGTCAGGCCGGGGGAGGAGAGGCAGCTCCCTGTCCTACCCCTGAGTTCACTAACATGAGATACCCAAGCCCCTCAGGCTGGCTGCCCGCCTGGTCTGGGAGGCCTTGCCTGTCCTTGTCTGGGTGTCCAAGTTGGAGGGTCTCCTGGCCATCTCTCGTGGTCACAGCCTGCATAGGTTTACCAGTGCTGGCTGGGCAAGGGTGCTGCTATAACTTCATCTAATGGGTGAGAAACTGGAGGCCCAGAGACCGTTTATGTTCTGCCCAAAGTTACAGTGGGATGTGTCTCCCAGAAGGTCTGGCAAGCCTTGTCTCTAATGTCTCCTGACAGGTGACCTGATATACCACAGAGACCTAGGTGTGCTCTAACAAGGGAAATGCCAGCGTTAGGGACTTTGGCTGTTTCTCCCTGGGAGTGGAAGCCGGTGCTTGGGCCAAGGGCAGGTGGCTAGAGGGCCGGGGGAAAGATCGAAGTCGGGCCGGAGGAGAAGCCCTCGAGCCTGCTCCCTCTCCCTGTCGGCCAGGATTTTGACCACCACTGCAAGTGGGTCAATAACTGCATAGGTCACCGCAACTTTCGCTTCTTCATGCTGCTCGTCCTGTCCCTGTGCCTCTACTCTGGCGCCCTGCTGGTCACCTGTCTCATCTTCCTCGTGCGCACGACCCACCTGCCCTTCTCCACAGACAAGGCCGTAGCGTATCCGCCCACGTGGGGAAGCAGAGGGAGGAGGCGGGGACTGGGGGCGTGCAGCGATGGGGGGGGCTATCAGGGCGGGGCTAGAGGGAGAAGCCTCCGGGGAGGGCCAGTCTGGGACGAGTGGGTGGGTGGGGTGGGGGGTGGGAGGGGTTAGGAGAAGCTGTGGCGCCTGGAGAGTCCCGCGGGCCCAGCGCGGCGGCTCCCGCCTGTAATCCCAGCACTTTGGGCGGCCGAGGCTGGCGCATCGCTTCAGCCCTGGCGTTTCAGACCAGCCTGGGCAACATAGTGAGACCCCGTCTCTACGAAAAAATAGAAAAATTAGCCGAGCGTGGTGGCGCGCGCCTGTGTCCCAGCTACTCGGGAGGCTGAGGCTGGAGGGTCACTTGAACCGGGGAGGTCGAGGCTGCAGTGAGTTGTGATTGTGCCTCTAAAAAAGAAAAAAGAATCGAGCGATGTCATGGAGCAGGTGCTAAAAGTGTAACGCAGATCTGGACGGGCCGGGACTGCGGGGTCGTCAGGCTTTCGCCTGGGCTAGGTGAGGGCGGGGCCAGGAGTGGTGGGTGGGCTTCCGTGGGCGGGGATATGGGCGGAGTCGGGTGTGGGGGCGGGGCTCTGGGCAGAGTCGAGTCTGAGGGGCGGGGATAAAGGAGGAGTCGGGTTCGAGGGGCGGGGCTAGAGGCGGAGTCGGGTGTGAAGGTAGAGGATCTGGGCGGAGTCTGGTCGGGGCTGGGGGCGGGTGGCTCAGGACGAGTCGGGCCTGAGGGGCGGGATTTGGGGCGGGGATCTGGGTGGAGTCTGGTATGGGGGCGGAGCTCAGGACGGAGCCCGACCTGAGGTCGGTGGATCGGGGCGGAGTCGGGGGGCCTGGGGGCGGGGCCAGGCGTGGGGGGGAGTCCCGCAGCTCTGTCCGTTCCTTAACTCGCGCAGCATCGTGGTGGCGGTGCCCGCCGCGGGCTTCCTGGTGCCGCTGTCCCTGCTGCTGATGATCCAGGCCGTGTCCGTGAGCTCGGCCAAGCGCACCTACGAGGGCAAGGTACGCGGGGCCGTGGGTGGTCAGCTCTCGCCTCCGGACCTCCGCGCTCCGCGCTCTCTCCACTGCCCTGGGCCCTGATCGCCTGACCCCCACCCTCGATGGCGCCTCCTTAGGTCCCTCCAGACGCAGCTCTTCAGAGGCTGGAATCTCGCCTCCTCCGGGAGCTCGATGGTCACTCTCCCTCCTGGGAGCCTACTGTGTGCTAGGCGGTTGGTATTACTGTGAGTGTGGGAGCCTGCTGTGTGCTAGGTGGTTTGTGTTACTGTGAGCGTGGGAGCCTACTGTGTGCTAGGCTGTCAGTATTACTGCGTGGGAGCCTACTGTGTGCTGGGCGGTTTGTGTTACTCTAAGTGTGGGAGCCTACTGTGTGCTAGGCGGTTGGTATTACTGTGAGTGTGGGAGCTTACTGTGTGCTAGGCGGTTTGTGTTACTGTGAGCGTGGGAGCCTACTGTGTGCTAGGCTGTCGGTATTACTGTGTGGGAGCCTACTCTGTGCTGGGCGGTTTGTGTTACTGTAAGTGCGGGAGCCTACTGTGTGCTAGGCTGTTGGTATTACTGTGAGATGGGAGCCTACTGTGTGAAAGGCTGTTGGTATTACTGTGAGTGTGGGAGCCTACTGTGTGCTAGGCGGTTTGTGTTACTGTGAGCATGGGAGCCTACTGTGTGCTAGGCTGTCGGTATTACTGTGAGATGGGAGCCTACTGTGTGATAGGCTGTTGGTATTACTCTGAGTGTGGGAGCCTACTGTGTGCTAGGCGATATTACTGTGAGCGTGGGAGCCTACTGTGTGAGAGGCTGTCGGTATTACTGTGTGGGAGCCTACTCTGTGCTGGGTGGTTTGTGTTACTGTAAGTGCAGGAACCTACTGTGTGCTAGGCTGTTGGTATTACTGTGAGATGGGAGCCTACTGTGTGATAGGCTGTTGGTATTACTCTGAGTGTGGGAGCCTACTGTGTGCTAGGCGATATTACTGTGAGCGTGGGAGCCTACTGTGTGCGAGGCTGTTGGTGTTACTGTGAGCGTGGGAATAGAGGTGAGTCAGGCTGCATTCCACACATGTGTTGATGAGGAACCTGAAATCAGCATGACACCCACCAGATACCCATGGACACCAGATACCCACGAGGGCTCAGAGAGAGCGGTCATGGGCCTGGCAGACTCAGGCATTGAGAGTTGAGGCAGGGCCTCGCAGTAGAGGAGGACGTGCAGCTTAGTGGTCTGGGAGAGACAGGACAGGGGGAAGGCACTGCAGGTGATGGGCGCACCTTTGCAGTCACTCAGGGAAGCCTGAAAATCTGTGGAATTGATAGGTTGGAGAGGAAGCAATTCTAACTGGGGAGAAGGTGGTGTGGGCAACCACGCTGACTGCTCCCGGCTGGTCACATTAAAGAGGTGCAGGCCGGGCACTGTGGCTCACGTCTGTAAGCTCAGCAGTTTGGGAAGCCGAGGTGGGAGGATCACTTGAGCCCAGGAGTTTGAGACCAGCCTGGGCAACAGAACGAGACTTCATCTCTACAAAAAGTTAAAAAATTAGCCAGGTGTGGTGGCATGTACCTATAGTCCCAGCTACTCCAGAGGCTGAGGTGGGAGGATCGCCTGAGCCCGGGAGATAAAGACTGCAGTCAGTGAGCTGTGATTGCACCACTGCACTCCAGCCTGGGAAATAGAGCGAGACCTTATTATTATTTTTTTTTAAAAAGCCCAGGCTGGGCACCATGGCCCAGAAAGTCAGGTGGAGAATTTAGGCTTGATGCAGGGAGCCAGGGTAGGATTATTTAAAAGTCAAGTTTATTAGACACGTGCAGGGCTCAAGCCTATAATCTCCGCACTTTGGGAGGCCAAGGTGGGAGGATCATTTGAGGCCAGGCCAGGAGTTTTAGACCTGTCTGGCTAACATGGCAAAACCCTGTCTACAAAAAAATACAAAAATTAGCCGGGCGTGGTGGCATGTGCCTGTAGTCCCAGCTACTTGGAGGCTGAGGCAGAGAATCTCTTGAACCCGGGAGGTAGAGGTTGCAGTGAGCTAAGATTGTGCCACTGCACTCCAGCCTGGGAGACAGAGCAAGATTCTGTCTCCCCCTCAAAAAGTCATTTATTGGGCAATAATCTACCTACATAATGCTCCCCCTTTTCCAGTGTACGGCTGTGAGTTCTGACAAATGGATACAGTCCTGCAGCCACCACCAAAATGAATATTTAGAACAGTTCCATTGCCCCAGAACATCAGAGATCGTGGTCTTTTGTAGCCGATTTCTCCCCCCAGTTGCAGCTCTTGGCAACCACTGATCTGTCTTCTGTCCTTATCATGTTTCCTTTTCCAGAATACATGGAACTGTTGGCTTGTGAGTCTGGCTTCTTTCACATAGCACAGAACATTTGAGATTCATTCATGTTGTTGTTCGTATCAGTCATTTATTCCTTTTTATTGCTGTTCAGTATTGCACTGTATGGATGTTCAATAGATTATCCATTTACCATTGAAGATGTTTGTGATATTCTAGTTTTGGAGGATTATAATAAATAACGCTGGATGGGCGTGGTGGCTCACGCCTGTAATCCCAGCAGTTTGGGAGGCTGAGGTGGGCGGATCACCTGAGGTCGGGAGCTCGAGACCAGTCTGACCAATATGGAGAAATTCCGTCTCTACTAAAAATACAAAAAATTAGCCGGGTGTGGTGGCGAGTGCCTGTAATCCCAGCTACACGGGAGGCAGAGGCAGGAGAATCACTTGAACGTGGGAGGCAGAGGTTTCGGTGAGCTGAGATTGTGCCACTGCACTCCTGCCTGGGCAACAGAGCAGAACTCGGTCTCAAAAAAAAAAAAAAAAAAAGACATAGAATAGCAGCTGGCAAAAGTGAGTGCTCTAGATGTCGATACTATTGTTTGTTTTTTACTTTTTTGAGGCGGAGTTTTGCTCATTACCCAGGCTGGAGTGCAATGGCGCGATCTCGGCTCACCGCAACCTCCGCCTCCTGGGTTCAAGTGATTCTCCTGCCTCAGCCTCATGAGTAGCTGGGATTACAGACACCCACCACCACGCCCAGCTAATTTTGTATTTTTAGTAGAGATGGGGTTTCTCCATGTTGGGCAGGCTGGTCTCGAACTCCTGACCTCAGGTGATCCGCCTGCCTCGGCCTCCCAAAGTGCTGGGATTACAGGCGTGAGCCACCACACCCAACCTGCATTGCTACTATTAACACCATTCATTTTTGTCATCATTTACACATGCTTCTGTCTGTCTCATCTTAAAAGCAAAGCAAAACCCTCCCTTCCCATCGCCAGTCTCTGCTCCCTGTTGTTCTCTGCTCTCCTGCAGCTGGATCTCCCGACAGAGCTGGCAGTGCCCACTTGCTCCACCCCCTCCCCTGGCCTCAGCCGGCCACAGGCCTCACCATCACACTGCTGCCACTCCCACCAGGTGGCCAAGGCCAGTGGCCAGTCCTCACCTACTCTTCCTGGACCACACACAGCAGCTTCTGAAACTGAACGTGGCTGCGTGGCCTTGTCCCCGCCCCTCAGGGCTCAGCCTCTGGCTTCCAGGCCAGGTCCTCTGCCTGTGCCTGGGCGTCTCGGCCTGGGTTCCTGCTCCCTCTGTAGGTGCTGCCCTCACCACCCTGGGTGTCGTGTGCGTGTGTCTCAGTCCCCAGCACAGTGCTTGTTAGAGTGAAGCAAGGGAAGAGTAGAACGAGGAGCTGGATCTGTAACTTACCGCACAAGCGAGACGCCCACAGCTTTCAGACCAGCCCCTGGCAGCGTGTGTGTGTGTGTGTGTGTGTGTATATATATATATATATATATATATATATATATATATAGAGAGAGAGAGAGAGAGAGAGAGAGAGAGAGAGATATGGAGTCTCACTCTGTCATCCTGGCTGGAGTGCAGTGGTGCGATCTCAGCTCACTGTGGCCTCCACCTCCAAGGTTCGAGTGATTCTCCTGCCTCAGCCTCCCTTGTAGTTGGGATTACAGGCATGCGCCACCACACCAGACTAATTTTTGTATTTTTAGTAGACAGGGTTTCGCCTTGTTGGCCAGGCTGGTCTCGAACTCCTGACCTCAAGTGATCCACCCACCTCGGCCTCCCAAAGGGCAGGGATTACAGGCGTGAGCCACCCTGCCGGGCCAATACCAGCAATACTAGTTTCCTTTGCATGCTTTAAACACCCTAAAGTAGGCAGAACCTCAAATAGTGCAAGGAAGCGTGTCGCCCTGTGGTGATGCTGAGCTCTGCTGGAGCCGTCCTGACTTCCTCCCTCGAGTGCCAGCTGCCCTGCATGGCATCCGGTTCCCTTCAGTGGAGAATGGTGTTGAAAAGCTCAGTCTTTGCGGGCCCTGGGGGATGGGACACGCAGGAGTTAGTGGTGGGAAGAGACGTGGCTGGGCCACGTTCAGTGACAGGACGTGACAGCGAAGGGTCCTGAAGTCGGGTGAGGCCCAGCCTGTCCTGGGGAGGAGGAGGGAATTCAGGAGGGGTGAGACGGATGGGTAGAGGGAGTGGGCAAAGAGGAGAAAGGAGGGAGAGAACCTGATGTGTGTTCAGGGCTTGAGCCCAGATTTTCCCAGGCCACATGATGGCGGTTGGGACATGTGATTGGGCCTCACACAGCTGACCTTCCAGACCGTGGCATTCAGGGAAGGCAGTTTGTATCTGGAAGGAGGCAGGAGAAGGATGTGTGTGGCCGGTGGAGACAGAGGGGAGGACAGTGCAGTGGCCGGGTCCTCTCTCAGCTTGCTGCTAGGCTGAGCCCTGGCCCAGCCTTTCCTGCCGGTTCTGAGCTCCTCTTCTGGTTTCCACCCTCCTCCAGTGCAGGCACCTTCAGGGATACAACCCCTTCGACCAGGGCTGTGCCAGCAACTGGTATTTAACCATCTGTGCGCCACTGGGTCCCAAGTGAGTTGGCAAAGCAGAGGCCCAACTGGTGAACCCTGGGGCTGGGGTGGAGCGGAGGTGGGCTCCCCCGGCTCTTCGCCACAGCCCCAGGCCCTTACACTCACGGTTCCTGCTCCTTGGGGGTCTTCTCCAAGGCACTGGGAGCTCTGGGGCCTCCCCACTTCCTCGCCTCCATGGGTTCTTGCCCCATTATGGTGTAGACAGGCGCTGCATCGTGTACAAGGCTGGCCTCAGCTTCCTGCAGAGCCAAGCCCTGGGCTGCCTGCTTCCCACGGGGAGAGGGGGCCTGGCCTCAGCTTCCTGCAGAGCCAAGCCCTGGGCTGCCTGCTTCCCACGGGGAGAGGGGGCAGGGGACCAGGCCAGGAGGACCATGGCCCTGCATGTGACCTGTTCCTCCCCAGGTACATGGCTGAAGCTGTCCAGCTGCAGACAGCGGTGGGGCCTGTCTGGACACCCATGACGAACCTGCACCCCGCCACGTCCGCCGCAGCCTGCCCTTGCCTCCAGCCCCAACCTCTGGGTCCTTACAAACCAGGGAAGGGTCCCCCAGGGAGTGGTGAGGCTGCGACTCTCCAGGAGGTAAGAAGCGTGTGTGCGCGTGTCTGTGTGTGCCTGTCGGGAGAGGGGGTCTGCAGGTTGTGAGGGTGTCAGGGAGGCCCCTGAGGCTGGGCTCACCCTGAGGCTGGAACACTCCGAGCTTGGGGGAGGGGTTTCTACACTGGAGGGGCATTGAAATTAGGGCCCCAGGCCTCTAGAATATATCCAGGAGTCCCTGGAGTCACCAAGACAAATGACTACCCCTCTAAACGTGGATTGGTCTTGGTCAGTCACTGACTGTCAGGACTGGGATGAGCCCGTGGTTTATAATTTGGCCAGGGGGTGGGGGTGGCGGGATTCTTTTATTTAAAGGAAATGAAGCCCCATGAAACTTGGAGGTGGTACGTTGGGAGCATTAGGAGTGCCTCAGTGGGGCTGAGTAAGCCCAGCGCCCCTGAGGCCTTCGCTGCATGTTCTGGGGCCAGCCTGCTCTCTCTGCTCTGCCTCTGGGGGCAGGAGACCTGGCCTGAGCTGTGGGGCACAGTCTTGGCAAGAGCCCTCACGCCCCTGTTTTGTGTTTCGCTTCACACGGGCCCAGTGCTGCCCCTGCTGCCGGAGGGCCCCAGGCGAGGCTCCGCCTTCCTCTCGCCCCTGCGCGCCCGGAGATGCCCACAGCACCAGTGCCCGAGCCCACCTCCTGAGCTCCTCTTCTGAACCCACCTACTGATCGCACCTCCTGAGTGGAAGCCTTTCTGTGCCCTGCTCTTGCCCTCCCCTGGTGGGAGTGCCAATGCCCTCAATGCCCATTAAATACCCTTGCCTGCCCCTACAACTGTCATGCTCTGCATGTCTGTCCTGGGTGAGGGCTTTGGGGAGGCTCTCCTGGAGGTCAAAGACCTTCCGGGATGGAGGAGCCAGGATCTGTGGAGACCTGAGTTCAGGACCCAACACCACCTGCCCAAGGTCACCTCTGTGACCTTGGGCAAGACACCTAACATTTCTCTCATCCTTAAAACTGGGCAGCATAATGACTGCAGCGGCCGACCTGGCCCAGCTCCCAGCTAGGGCTGGATGTCTGAGGTTGGGATGACCTGGCCTCCGCCCGGCTGCACCTTGGTCTGGCTGCAGGGGGCGCCCGCTGCCCAGGAATTCACCAGGCCTGGCCAGGTCCCGCCCTGCCTCCCTGGAGCCTGGGGTGGGTTGGGGCTGACCCTGAGGCTGGGAGTGGCCCCCTCCCGCTGCCCCTCCTGGGAAGTGGAGGGGTGGGGGCATTCTCCACCACAGCGCAGCCCCACAGCTTTCCTGCAGCTGTGTCTCACCCTGGCCCCTCCTTCCTGGTGGGAAGTCAGGAGCTGGTTCTGATCCCATCCATGGGGTCGTCTCCAGGCCCCTCCAGGTGGGGGTCAGCAGGGAGGAAACATCAAACTGTGGCTCTGCTAGCAGCCAGAGTATGACCGTGGGACTGGGAATAATGTCACCTTTCTGATAGGTTGTCAGAGGCTGGAACGGTGTTTCATGCAGAACATCAAGAACACAGGTACACAGTAGGCACGCAATGAGTGCAGCCAGTGTGGTCATGATTATTTTCTCCAGGGACACAGGTACACAGTAGGCACGCAATGAGTGCAGCCAGCGTGGTCATGATTATTTTCTCCAGGGACACAGGTACACAGTAGGCACGCAATGAGTGCAGCCAGCGTGGTCATGATTATTTTCTCCAGGGACACAGGTACACAGTAGGCACGCATGAGTGCAGCCAGCGTGGTCATGATTATTTTCTCCAGGGACACAGGTACACAGTAGGCACACAATGAGTGCAGCCAGTGTGGTCATGATTATTTTCTCCAGGGACACAGGTACACAGTAGGCACGCAATGAGTGCAGCCAGTGTGGTCATGATTATTTTCTCCAGGGACACAGGTACACAGTAGGCACACAGTGGGTACACCCAGTGTGGTCATGATATTCTCCAAATGCGAGCCTAGGGCCAGCCTAGCCTGGGCCACAGAGGAGGGTCTAAGGGCCTTGGCCGGGATGTGAATCATGGAACTGGCCAGGTGAGGAAGTCACGCCAGCCTGGAGTCCCAGCAGAGGGCAGAGAAGGCCAGGCCCGGGGTCGGGGGAGGCCCTGCCCTCGCTCTGTGGCCCCGTTGCTGTGAGTCACCTCCTCTCACTGCCTGGGGCTCGGCTCCCCACTGGGGAGACATAATTTCCTCAGTGTCAAAGGAGGCCATGACCCCTCTGAGGGATGTAGATTCTAGACCTCCCTGTCCCTCCCAGCCTGGGATTGCTTTTTTTTTTTTTTGAGACGAGGTCTTGCTCTGTCGCCCAGGCTATAGTGCCGTGGTGCGATCTCGGCTCACTACAACCTCCGCCTCCTGGATTCAAGTGATTCTCGTGCCTCAGCCTCCTGAGTAGCTGGGATTACAGGTGTGCACCACCATGCCTGGCTAAGTTTTGTATTTTTAGTAGAGACAGAGTTTCACTATGTTGGCCAAGCTGGTCTCAAACTCCTGGGCTCAAGTGATCGGCACACCTTGGCCTCCCCAAGTGCTGGGATTACAGGCGTGAGCCACCACAGAGGCCCCAGCCTGGAATTTCTACAGTTTCCTTAGGAAAGCCGCTTGGATCAGGCCCCTCTGCTCCTGGAGGGTTAAGTGAGACATAGACCGTCCCTCCCTTTGACTCCCCACCACTCCACACTCTCCCCTAAGCAGGGGACCCTCAGGGAATCTTTGCAGCCAGGCTGGGGGGGCCTCAGTTGAACTGCACCCCCTGTCCCTTTCTGCCCCTTCCTTGTTTCTGCTGAATGTGCCCTTGATTCTTAGATGCACCCACCCAGTCCTTGGCCCCCTGATAAGGGGAGGGGTGTTATCAGACAGTTATGGGGCCTGCTGCCCACACGCCCAGGAAGCCAGCCACCCTTCCTTCTCCGTGCTGGAGCCAAGGGGTGACCCCAGGCCTGCAGGGCTGCCAAGGGCCTGTCTGTCTAGGGCCCCTCTGAGAGGTCCCAGACGGCGCCTAACACCTCAAGAAGGGGGTTGGTCCCTGGGATGGGGAGCCCAGAGCTGCGCCTCCCCATCTGCATGCCTTTCTTCCACGGGCCTTCTGGACAGGCCACAGGCTTCATGGGCCTGTGGGGTGGGACTCAGCCGGTCATTCCTCTTGGTGCTCAGCGTGCTGTGCTGACGGGGTCACTGCCCTGTGCGGCTGTGCACAGCCTCAGCTTCCTCATCTGTAGCACTGACAGTCACAGCCACCTCCCGGGGTCACAGGATCCTAACTCTCTGGGGGAGGAAGGAGCTCGGCCGCCTCATCCAGCCGCTCCCCCACCCCAGATTCACAAACAGGCACTCTGGGGCCCAGAGAGGGACGTGGTTGCCTAAGACCACAGGGTACAGCCAGTCTGGTGACTCTCTGCTTCCCAGGCCGTTGCCCCTGTGCCTGGTCTTGGGCCATTCCAGAGGGGACAGAATGGCCCAGGACCAGGCACAGGGGCAACCAGAGCCCCGGCAACCCCAGGGCTCTGCCTTCTAGCCCTGGTGCCTCATAGCAGGGCTGGGCTGTGTCTCAGCACAGGCCTGGGAACTGATAAGAAGGTTGGGTTTAACACCGTCTCCCGTGCTGTGCAGCCGGCGATAATGACTCCCACCCCACTGCCTCCCGGCCCTGCCCTGCTCTGCCCTGACCCTTGGGTGGGGGCCCTGCAGGTGGCTGAGGGTGGGGCAGGGCAGGGACAGAGGGGGAAAGGGAGGTCATGGCGCTGCAGGATCCAGGGCAGAATCCTAGTACCTTACAGGACACAGGCACCTTGCTGGCTGACCCTTGTGGGCACAGTGCCTGGCGCCCATGCTCCATCTGGGCCTGAGTCCCTTCTCTTTAGTTCTCAGTGTGCAGAAGAATGGCTGGAGGAAGCAGGCCCCGGGGCTGAAGGCTTGTCAGACTCCTGTGCTCACACAACCTCGATCCGGCCCTGCTGGGCCAGGGCCTGTGCACGGTGGCTCAGGCCGTCTCCTTTCACCCTGACAATTGCTCTGTGAAGTTGTCATTCTAGTGCTCGAGGTGCTGAAACCAGGGTGGATCCGAGAGGCAGAGGTGCAGCTCCCATGACCCTTCACCACCGCGGTCTGTGAGCCGTTCCCACGTTTTATTTCAGTGCAGGGTAACAACTAAACTGAGGTTCTGAAGGTGGGCTGCCTGGTCTCTCCTTCTGTAAAGTAAGATGGATAATCGTATCTCCAGAATAAAACACATGTGTGTCCACACACACACACACACACACACACACACAGTCATACCCCATTGTGTAGCTATAAGGCGGATGCCACACTGCGTGAAAGGAGCTTGGCACAGCCTGACACGTGGCGAGTGCTTCCCCGAGGGAGCCATGCTCGTCACCCTGCAATAAAGGGTGACACAGCAGTCAGGCCTCTGACATCTGCTCCCCGCCTTGGGATGCCAGTCACCATGACGACAGCCACTGGTGTGGGTTCCCCTGAGGCTGGACAACAGGGGTGGAGGGTGCCACTCCGGAGGCGGGGTCTTTGTTACTGTTTTACAGAAAATCCACCAACACCAGTGTCTCCAGGCCAAAGGGGACGGGGGCACGGGCTCGGATTCTTCGAGGGATTGGGGAGAGGATGAGGACCACCCCGCAGCGGCTCTGCCTCCTGTCGCGAAAGCAACTGGGGCCGGGCGCGGGGCTCACACCTGTGATCCCAGCACTTTGGGAGGCTGAGGCAGGTGGATTGCAAGGTCAGGAGATGGAGACCATCCTGGCCAACATGGTCAAACCCCATCTCTACTAAAAATACAAAAATTAGCTAGGCGTGGTGGGCGCCTGTAATCCCAGCAACTAGGAGGCTGGGGCTGTAGGATCGCTTGAACCTGGGAGGCGGAGGTTGCAGTGAGCCGAGATCATACCACTGCACACCAGCCTGGCGACAGAGTGAGACTGTACCAAAAAAAAAAAAAAAAAGAAAGCAATTGTTGCTTCTGCTTTGTGTCCAGGCAGTGCCTCAGG